TTCTGGTAACAACTCTAGACAGTATATATAAAGCTCGGTAATCTTTTAATGAAAAGAGCAAAAGTAATTCCAATCATTGTCAAAGAATCATGAAGTGAATACATCAAACATAACAGTATAATATACATTCATAAAGAGGGTTAGGTACCTAATCTATTTTGCATTTCTTTTTTTGTTAACTCTGGGAAAACAAAAAAAACCAAAGACAAAAAAAGAGAAAAAAGGAAAGAACCAAAATAATTGTCAGCTTTCTTAGCACCATTAACATGAGGCAGCTCAACAGTGGCACATTTTGAAAACAAACAAAGAGAAATAACTATGAACTCAGAGAAGTACATTCAATTTGACAATAGGCAGAAATGAGAGAAGGCAGACTAAATGGGCTTGCAGCCCATGGAGCTTCCCATCAGCAGCTTGTCTTGGTCCTAACCCTGATACACTGGAGAAAAGAAACAAAGGATCATGGCAGAGAAGAGAGAAAGGAGAGACAGAGAAAGATTGATTATGAATCCTGCCATATGCAGGCAATCAGTTACCATCACGTGTGCATCAGAATTACCATATCCAGTGTGACAAGGCCCGTTTTTAAATCAAGCTTCAATTTGTCTGCATATCTCCATGCAGGCTCATGTTAAACTGCTTTATTCTTTAAATAATACTTAACTTTCAAAGATAAAATATTAGCCTGTTAAGTATTTACTTGTAAAACCAGGTGAATGTATTTATTTTATAAAAACACTTTTACAGCAGATTAAACATGATTGTAAACTCTGTTTTATGTTTGATTTATTTCTGGGCAGTGTGGAGGTGAACGACCCCCGAGTAATTCATATTAATTGCGTGGGAATACACTGGATCAGATCGTACACATAGATTTTTTATTTTCAGTTTGTGCCCTTATTTGGCCTTGATTTTGAAAATATTTTCTGCCAAATTAGAGATTATGATAAAGACAAGACAGAAACGAAAAGTACCTTCAAAATTAAGTTGAACGTAGACATTATGAGACAAAATGGTCCAAAATAACTAGAGAAACAACTTACTGAGTATGGCAGCGTTAAGAAATAAATTAGATGAGAATGTCAAGGAAAATTACTGTTTATATTACCGTTTCAGGTAAGATAGAAGTAAGATTTCCAAGTGGAGCTAAAGACATGCTTTCCTTCATTTACAAGATTACTGATTCCATTTGTACTGAAAACTGCTTTCACATTCACATTAAATTTAACTGCAACAATGTAATATCCATTCATGACTGATGCGTGCATCAGAATCTCAATGAGTAATAAACCACCTTGAATTTCCAGTACAAAATAGGTATTCAGTGAGGCACTGCCTCTGACAAATGACAAATAATTTCCTTGCTTACCCTCAAACATCTGCACTACACTCTCCTTGGTCCAGAGAAAGCTCATTTGAACATCTCTTTTTTCATCTTCTTCCTCTACAGTAGCCTTCAGAGCACATCTCCCCTTTGCCTCTCTTTTGTTGCTTCTCAGTGCCAGGCGATGTTGAGGTAAATTGAATTTGGCAAACAAAGTGGGGGAAACGAGGAGAATTCAGAGTCTTTCTGATTTGGTTTAGTGAGTGGTGGTGTACCACTGCCAGCTGTTGGTGCCTTTCATCGGAGAGAGAAAAGTCCCAAATAAAGAATTCCTGTAGTGGCAAGTCTCTGTAAGGAGTCTCCAACCCGAGCAGCCAATATTCCAATGGATAGAAAAGAGGAACAGCCAATATTCACACATATATAAGAGGTCATTTACACAGCATTGTTACTTTTGGCACATTGATTTTAAGATTATAATCATCTTTTTTTGCAAATATTGCATGTCCCTGTACAACAACATTGACAAAAATACTCTGAGGGTGGAGCTTTTATGAATTTGCAAGGCGTAAAAATGTAAATTTAGATAACCAGGTCCTCTAAACCCCAGAAGAAAAAGAAAAAAAGGAAAAAATGGGGAGTCATTCCAACTTTGAGGGAAATAAACATTGTCTGATATGTCGTCAATACAAAATGGTCCCATCTTGCGTTTTCAAGATGTCTTGGGCTTAAATACGGCTCATTAATTGTAGGTTTCCCTCTATTGAAATGAGCCAGGCAGTGTATGAAGGACAGCAACAACAGGACATCCATATTCTGCATACAAAAACAGATGAGGAGGGGTGCGTAGATGTCACTCAATGCATTTGTGTATATAGCTACATCTTTAGGGAAAAGGGGGGAATAAATACATAATTCAGGGGAGCTAGTTCTGCTGAGAAAATACAAAAACAAAATTCCTCAAAAAGGCGACAGAACTGTTTTCAAGGCTTATTCTCTTTTTTTTTTCAGACAAAAATAAAACAAAAACGACTATAAGAAGAACAAACAAAGCAGAAACAACAAAAGCAAGAAAAATGCAGCCATGGTCATTTCAAATCTCAATCAAGCTTGACACAATCACTCAATAGGTAGTTTGCAAAGTACAAGAAGTTTTTCATGCAGATATTAATTTCATCTTCGGGGGGGGGGTTAAAAGGAATTGGGAGTAGTCAGGGGGAACGTAGTACTCATGCAGCTCTGGCATAGCGTCAGTGTAGGTATGCTTGGGAGGGAGGGCTGAGCAGGTAGTGGGGGGAAAGTGAGAGGGGGTGCAACAGCAGCTGATAACAAAATATTACCTCAGTTTCTCAAAAGAGGTGATCAGTGCTAAGTCCTTATTTGGGTCTCTCTCACCTCGCTTCCCCTTCAGTGTCTCAATCCGAGGGAACTTTGCACTGGTCTTGTGGCGGTACAGCTTTTTGTGCGCAGGCCCGGGGTTAATAAAGTTGGGTTTATCAAACATGTTACAGCCCAGTGCTAGCTGAGGGAATAAGGGATGAGAGGGGTTGAATTTGGCCTGGTTTTTTCCTCCCTTTCCCCCAGCCTTTCTGCCTCTCCCAGCCCCTGTGAGCACAGCTCCTTTTTTCTTCAGGTCCGCCTCTGTGCCTGCCAAGATTTTTAGGGTCTTTAGGTTGAGGCTATTGGCCTCGGAGGGCATACAGGCCTCCGACATGGGATTCCACAGTGGCTCAATGGAGGCCATCATGAACCTTTGGACCTCAGCCATGCCAGAGACAATGTTGGACAGGATATTGGAGGGCTCCTCGAATTCTCTCTGGTCATCCCCCACCAGATTGTTGCTTTCTGACCAGCCGGTGCCAGACCAGTCCCCAGTGGTGCTACTGTCAGTCAGGCCTGTGGCACAACCGCCTGCCTGGTTCTTTGCTGCCTTACCCTCTAACATGGCCTTTATCTTTTTAGTGGAACGTGAGTTCTGTTTGGGCGTCTTAACCTTTTCTGACTTGGGAGCTCTGGGAGCCCGGACTTTCTTTGGGCTCTGTCCTGCAGCTGTCTGTTTGCAATTGCCTTTCCTCTTAGACTTTATGCTTTTCACTCCAGGCAGCATCTCACCAGTCTGTTCATCAAATTCTGTAACACCCAGCTCCTTTTTATCTAAACATAACACATTCTGATTGTTGAAGTTGTGGAGTGGAAACTGGCTGTCTTCCACCGTGTATGCATTTGCTGTGTGCTCTTGTTGCTGTATAACATCACAGTTCCACTTTACTTCCCTATTGCAGTCCATGGTCATATCATTAACATCCTGGTATTCTCCAACATTCCCAGCTATCTTCATCTCACGCCCTACCACCTGCGGGGACAGGTTGGGGGTCTCAGGAGGGGACAGTTCTGACAGTGATGAGTGTCTAAATTTGTCAGGGGTAAAGTTGGAGATATCCAGTAGGTCTGAGGACTCCCTGAGTGGGGTAAGGGCATCCACACTCTGCTGAATCACCACTTTCGGACTGCAATGAGCTAAGAAGCTGTCTCGGCCCTCCTCCTCACCCTCTCGCTCACAAGACTTGAGGCTGAGGGAGCTGTAATTGCTAGAGGAGGCTGACAGAGAGCCCACTGAGTCATAGCTGACGAGCCTACCATTGTCTGTGCACAAGGACCCTCTCTGGTATTGCACCTGGCCATCCACACAGGCAGACTGAGACACTTGCACATCTGCCCCGGGCTGCAGCCCAGCCTCAGTCAGGTAGCTCTTGTCATAAAGCAGCCTGTCCGCCTCAGGGCTCAGCTGGCTGTAGTTAGACACTGGCAGGTTGTCGTTCAGGGGCACAGCACCTGCAAAGTTGTTGGGTAAGATGGGAGTCTCAGGGGTCTCTGGCCCAAAGCTCTGGCTGTGACTTGCGCAGAGCTGCTGGTGCCACATCTGGGGGAAGCTGGGGCAGTTCTGGGGGGACTGCTGGAGCTCGGACTCAGAAGGAGGCGAGAGGACGCAGCTCTGAGCGAGCTGCAGAGAAGAAAACTGTTTCTCCTCTAGGGATAGCCCCAGAGGATACTGTTGCCTAGAGGACTGCTGGGGGAAATATGAGATAGCTGCTCCGCCAGAAGAGTCTGTAGCATCTAACAGGGTCTGCAGGTAGCCTCCCGGGATGACAGGGACACCCGCCTCCACCTCCTCTGAGGAAGGAGCTTTATCAGCAGAGCAGGTGGACGTAACAAAGGAGAATTTCTCCTCAGATCTGTGAGCAGGGGTGGTATTGTCAGAAAAATGGGGTTTGACTGTAGTTGAGCTAATGCCTGCCTCTTCTAACCCAGCAGTTGGGTTCTCAATCTGTGCTGCAGGTACACAGGCATCCGTTTCATTTGTCACACTCCTCCTCTCCTCTCCTTCTGCCTCTTTCATTTTCTTGCTCCTCAGCCTTGCTTCGCTTTTGAATTTCCTTATCCTGACTGTTTTATTTCCTCCCAGTCTCCTCCCCTCCCTCTCCTCCCTCTCCTGGGAGCGGCTCTTGGCTGTGACTGTGTGCGTGATGGAGCTCGTGTCTAATGTGACTGGGAGGCCTGGAGCTGCTATTATTCCCCCTACCATGGGGGTGGCCTCCGCTTTAGTGACACCTCCCTGGCCCTGATCAGAGAGAGCGGAGCCCTGTGCTGTTGCTGATTGTTCCACAGCATGAATCCTCTGAACCTTAAGCCTGTTTGCAATCTTGTATTTCCTTTTGGGATGACTAGAATTAAAAGGGCGATGATGGCGTCCATTTAGATGAAAACTGCGTTGTTTTTTATCTCTGGCAGCCAGCTTAAGCTGTTCCTGTCTCTCTCTTTGCCTCTCTTGCCAGAAATCCTTCAGAGGAGCCAGTTTCTCATATTTGCTTACTGTGTCTGTGTTTAAGCTCACAGTAGCATCCAAAGGGTCTAACTTTCCCAGTTTCACTGACATGAGTCTCTCTCCTTTAAACCTGTTGATAATGATGTACTTGATGACAACGGGTGGTTCCTTACGACAGGATTTCCGTCGCTTTTTGGGGCACCAGTCCACATCCTCCTCCTCTTTCTGACCAGCAGGAACTTTTTCCTTTTTCTCAGCATTCTTCTCACTCTCGAGCGAGTCAACATCATATAAGTAATCATCGCTGTATCTAACCTTTCTCTTGGAGCGTAAGCCGTAGTTTAGTGGGTTGGAGGGGCTGAGGAATCTTTTTGAGTGGCCTTTTTTAAATTTGCCCTCCTGCAGAGTGTCTGAGGAGGAGCCTGTGCAGGAGCTGTCATCACTGAATTCTCCCGACTCCTCCGTGGAATTGAAATCCATTAAGTAATTAACTTTGGGAGTAGACATGGGTGAGCCTTGGGAGCCGTCAAGAGGGCTCCTACCACTGCAGTCCCCAGCTTTTCTTTCCTGTCCGGTCTCCAGGATGAGCTCATCAGTTTTGGGCTGCAGCTCCTCAGCACTCCTCCTCAGGACGCCCACTCCTTCCTCTTTCTTGGCACAGTTAGCCAGGACACTGGGGAAGAAGTTGAACTGTGTCTCCTCCTGGAGCACATTTGTTTTCTCCCTCATGTTGTCCTGGAAAGACTCATAACGAATCTTCAGCGAACAGACATCACTGCTTAAAGTGGAATCATCATCTTCATCATCAAAGAGGTTGTCGACGTCTTCCTCAGAGAAGAGGTTGACTGACAGTTCATTCTTAGAACAAAGGTCCAGCAGTTCCATCTTACTCTCGCTGATGAAAGACTCAAAGTAGCCCCAGTCCTGGCCGGCATTAGCCAACAGAACCTCCTCTCCGCTCACTTTGTCCAGTAACAGTCCCTCATACAAGTTCTTAGCTGTTGCATCATCCTCTGCATCATCACAATCCTCTGTTGTTTTGTTTCCATCCGCTCTCTTGCCCTCACCTGGGGCTTTCGGCAGAGGAAAGCTTAGTAGCTGGTCAGAGAGGAGCTGTTCTCCATAGTGACTCACTGTCTCTCCTGCATGACTCAGGCACTGGATGCTGATGTTGTTAATGTCTGAGAAGTCCTCTCGGCTTACATCCCCTATCCTTACACTTAGCCCAGTCTCTGTGTCTGGGTTAGTGTTAGGGTCAAGCGGTGGGTTCTGGATGGAATTGGGGTCAGTAGCATCACAAGTTTCAATGAAGCAGCCAAGGCAGGTGCGTGAAGGCTGAAGAAGACACTCCTCTGTCAGGACAGACACAGTGCCGGGCTCCATCATTGTAGCTGATAGAGGGAGGGCAATGGGGAGTGGATGCGGAGTCTTCTGGGTGTCTCCCACTGAGCCCCAGGAGTTTACAGCCGGGGTGGGAAGGGAAGTGGGAGTAGGAGGGTGGTGAATTTGTGGGACTACAGTGGGAGAGTCATCGGAGGAAGGGCAGGGGGCTGCTGTCAGGCCAAGAGAGGGATCAGTGCCAATGGGCAGGGGCAGGGTTGGCGGTGGAGGTGTGGTCCTCTGTTGTGTTGGACAGGCCCGCTGTGACGTCTCTGCAGCAGGTCGGGGTGAGGATGGAGGGAGAGCAGCATCGACGAGTCCGCACAGACTCAGATCACCACTCTGCTCACATACCCCTGTGGGGGGAAAAAAAGAAAAGATTTCAATTCTTTCAAGTCTTTGAACCATAAGTCAAAAGTTAAATGACATTGTTCTGTAGTTACACTGACATTTCTTCTGGGCTGCTGAGATGCAATTACAGTAAATTAACCCCCCAGAGCTGAATGTGCCATTTTGTGATGCCAGCTTTAAACATTAATAAGTCAGTTTTGGTATTAGATTCAGTAAGAGGTATTAGCAATGTCAAGTTGGGTAATGACAACTTCTTACCCATTACAGTTAGATTTTCAGATGTAAAAGTCGAGACTGGGCAAGATCTAACACAGCCATTATAAACTCCCCCCAAATTAGCTGTGGCTCAGGACGTAGAGCAGTTCGTCAACTAAGCATAAATTAGGCGATTCAAGCCACATTCTCCTTGCCCCTGACGCCTGTGCCAGCACTGGCTGATGTATGTGAAAGGGTAGATAACAAAACTGTGTTGAATAGCGTGTTGAGTGGTCATCTAAGACTAGAAAAGTGCTATATAATTACAGACCACAGACCAGACCACACATAAAAAGAAAGAGAATTACCCATGAATTTAATCTTACACATCCTGTTAACATGTGAAAGTGATAAAGAGCTGCTAGAAATTCAGCAACATTCAAAATAATTAGCTTTATCATGCGCTAAGAGGCGCAGCACTGCAGCAATCTCAGAAACAAAAGTGGGCCTCATCCACATGATTGTAAAGCTGCTTTCAGACATGAACTGAACTCTGAATATTAGACATTTTTCAGAGGGGCTGTATGTAAAAACATGAGTCAGTTGTTGCGAACCCTCTCTGGACCTGCCAGCCTCCTGGAGAATGTCCAAGTGAGCCCTTGTGAGAATATGGCAGGATATTGTCCAGAGAATTCACAGCAAGCAGGGAGCATTGATGACGTTTCTAAAATGATACAGACACAAATGTGATGAAATCAAAAGATTATTAAAAAAAAATATTCACACAGAAGATGCTGAAGAAAATGACAACTTGGAAAGACAACGTGATGTAAGAGATTTTGGTGATCGGGCCAATCCAGCGCCCCACCCCTCGCCTGAAAGCTCCAGAGCTTATCTCATTGTTGTGCACGTGTCTGATCTGGACAATCTCCTGCTGCATTCTTTATATGTGAGAGATAAAGATAAAAGTGATCAATGTCATTCCATTGTATAACAGATTTATCAATAAATATAGTAATGGTTTGAATTTTGTGTTAAATAAAGTTCCCATCCATGGAGAGAGTTGGAAAAGTCACTTCAAAAGTATAGCTAACTAAAAATAATGTCAAGTAAAGATATCATCTGCTTGATGAAATCAATATACAGCAGCACTGCGGTATTATATATTTTTCCTCACCAACACAAGAGCAGTATGGGAGATTAAAGTAATGCAGTCATATTGCTTTACCTCCCCCTCTTTTTAGCTTTTCATCTGTACAACTGCAGATGCAACTCTTCTCTTAAGCAACAAGATGCCACAAATTTACACAGATTTCCAGCAACAAGCAGTGATGGCTAAAAGTGAGGTCAATTGTGACGGTGTTTTAATCAGTTGAAGACGTCCATGTGATGAGTAACAATCAAAACCCACAGAAGTGGGCTTGTAGCAGCAGGCAGATAGCTTTGTTTGCTCTGCATAATTAGATGACAGGAGAGGAGGCAGGTACGTACACATGGGACACGACAGCCCCATATGTTGGAGACTGTATAACCAATATCATCTACACCTGCCTCCCGCTACAGTCCCAAGCTGCTGCCTCACGTGTATTCTTTAAAACCATGCCAGAAAAAAAAAGAAAAACAAACCACAGCAGTTAATATGTTCACTGAGGTTAACTAGCAACGTTAGTTGCCCATTTTAGAATGAAGGTGCCTAATCATCGCTGAGGTAATGAAACATTCTTGAGGGAAGGACAGCTTTAACAAAAGGATTCAACATGGCTGTATTGGTGGTGAGTAGATCTCTGAACATGGCTATGACTCCAGAGTGATTTGACGAGGTAATTAAATTTCTGAGAGCGTGTCTCTGTGGGTTTTGTGGCCTAAAGACGCAGTGGTGCAACTAGAACGCCTACTTGAAGCAGAGAACTTTGCTACTGTTATCCCTAATGAAAAAAACCTTCCCTCTTCCTCTCAGGAAACTGTTACAGCAGCAACTTGTCAGAGGCTGCAGAAGCAACACTGCGAGGCGGTTGCCATCAGTTCAGTTCAGTCTGCGAGCCAAAATGACCTCCAAGCAAAAGCATGTTACTGACACACTGACAGATATCCTATTCTACATTTGGTATTACATCACCTGCTACACTGTATTGTGTGGCTCTTAGTGTAAACATCGCAAGACTGCAGTTACAAATAATTAATTTAATTTTGGTATTATATGCAAACAGTCTGCAAAAGAGTACTTTAAATCTACCAGTGCCCACATAAGACAAATATAAAGAAATGATCATTTTTCTTTCATTAACAACAATTTAAAAAAAACAAGTACACAGATGGAGTAAGAGAAATAACAAAAATTGGGAGAAGTTAACCTCTTTTCTCCCCTATGCTTGCATGAAATCTAAGCTGCCACGTAATGTTGCCAAAAGATTGTTCAAAATTGCTGTGAAACATTAAACTCATATTGAGAAATGTGTTTCCTCAGGGTTTATAATGGATTAACAATCTATCCTATCCCATGTGTGCGTGCATTACATTTTTCTGCCGTGTGTGTGTGTGTGTGTGTGTGTGTGTGTGTGTGTGTGTGTGTGTGTGAGTGAGATAGAGTGCGAGTATTGGCTGGGGGGTATAGTGTTATCGAGAGGCCATCTGTCTCCAGCTGGACCATTAGCTCTTCAGCTGTTCAGAATGTGCCACAGATCAGTCAGTCAGACAGGTACACAACCACAAACACAAACACACACACACACACACACTAGCTTTTATAGCGATGACTGTAGCTGACAAATTGAGTTTGACATTAGAGGTCAAAGGAGCATCGGCAGCCTCATATTAACTGATACAGTACAGCATAATGTCACTACTGCATCTATGCTGGCAAATGTAAACAAGATAAACATCCAAAACTCTCACTGCTGCCAGATTTCAATATCTTAGCATACAGAAAAATAGGCTCATATACTAATAAATAGAAAACAGGCTTCATAGGCAGAGGATGTCGCACCTTGTTAAGCCCTATGAGACAAATTCAGATTTATGAATATGAGCTTTACAAATAAAATTTGATTGACTGATTGACTTTGAGATCACTCTAACATGATTCAAGTTTTATACGTGTGTTTATCAGAAGAAGAGCTTCTTGAATAGAAAGCGAGTCTGGATGTGACACAGCTCATGCAAGCTGGCATGGACATCCACCAGTGAACATATGGAAGGACCCCAGCTGCTGGCAGGTGGCGGTGATCTGCTGATCCCCAGCTCTGCCAAGTCCAGCCATGCTAGACAGCTCGACCACAGCCAAACTAGTCCAGACCAGACCAGTTAGCGCTCAGAGCTCTCACCCCCTCCCCCCAACCCACCCCCATTCTCCAGCAAGATAGTCAGGGCTCCACCCACCTGAGGTAAGCTCGAGCTGCCCTGTGCCAGGCGGCACCTGCAGGGAGGTGCCTGCAGGGAGACGAGTCCATGTGGAGGGACATGGTCATGGACATGAGGAGAGAGACAAGTTGGCATCTGTGGCCTTATCTATTAGTGTGTCAGATGCCACACATGCACTCACAGCCACACATGCACTTACACACATATACTCATACTTTTTCCTGTCATCACTATATAAAAATAAGACAAATATAGAAACAACACTGTGAGAAAATGTCTATGATCTGCCTCTGCTACTAATATGATAAAATCCATATTTCCACTCCATTTGGCGGACAGAATAAAAAAGCTCAATTATCAAAATATAAAGTACAGTGCAAATTAAAACAGCTGACAGTAGCCTCTTTCTCCTTAATGGCTTTCTGAAATCATTCCTCATTCCCATCCCCTCTCCATCCTCTCTTCCTCTCTTCTTCTGGTCACTATCTCCTTCCCTTCCAACTTCCCTGCTCCCCATCCCTGTTACATGGAGGCTTTTTCAGTGGAAAAATGCCGAGCTAGCCATTCTACAGATCAGCCACCCAGTGCATTCATTCATCCAGCTGGTGGGCCGACCACAGAAGCCGCTCGCTACCTTTTGCTCCCTCTTCACTATATGACAATTTGTGAATGGCCGCAGCAGCGGTGGTGGTGGGGGGGTAGAATCAATCCAGCCTGTACAGGATGTTCATAATAAGTGGTGAGTAACTGCAGCATGATTCATGGCCATCCTCCTCAGAGAGCTGCCCTGTTCCTGCTCAATGGCGCTGCGTTCACCGTTCTCCTTTCTCCTGCTCTCATTCTCCATCCTCCTCCCTCTCTTTCTTTCCCTCTCAGTGCCTCTCTAGGACCAGACTAGTGCTGGTGGATAATCTGTGTGATTCTCACATTGGGAACCAGTCAGTCCCCACTGAGCCTGACCAGAGCTGAAACACTGAGATACCCCTCATATAAAGATCAGTGTTGCTTGGCAGAGGTAAGTGGTTGAATGAGTCTTGGAAACAGTGAGGATTTTAGTCCAGTGAATGGAACTTTTTTACCCAAGACGCTTACATCATGGAGATATTAAGATGCATACTGAGATTTCACAGAAGGCAGCTTCCACAACTTAAAAAACTTTTAAATAAATCTGACTAAATGATCTTTATATAGTAATAGTATGTACATAGTACTTAGTACACTTCATTGTAATTATTCCCATTTAATATATAAAGTGCAAACCATTTTATACTCATATTGATATTGTGTTACACACCTGTCTATATACTAATAACAGCCTATATATACATATACATATGTAAGTTTATTTCAATATAAGCTACATAATTCACAAATACAGTGTACATCTTCAAACTTTCATCCTGTGACATTGCACTTTACTCAAGTAAATATATCTTTAATAATTAAAAGTATAAACATATTCTCAATATTTTTATTTAATTTTTTTCTTTATTCATATTTATTCTCTACCTCATTTTGACTATCTGCTGCTGTAACAAGTGAAAATCCCTGGTTTGAGATGAATAAATCTTATTTTATCTTAAATTAAGACCTTAATTTGTCAGTGCTAATAAACACAAGTGAGCGTATGTGAAAGAATTAATTGCAGCATCCTCTTTCCCAGTTTCACCTTTTTTTATGCTAAAAGGTAGATTTCTGAGATGTGAAAGGAGAGAGGATTAACAAAAGCGTAGAAGGCTTCATCCAATGGTTCTTTTCCACTTTTCATTTTAAAACAAAAAGACAGTATGTGTTTCACCTTGTCCTGTATCTTGTCAAAGAGCTTAAAAACTGAGAGAGAAAAGCTAATTCAAGACACCTACTTCAAATTGCAGTTTCAAAGTTTAAAGCTTTAATTTATAATAATGAATTATTGATTAAAATAATTTTCTCTTAGGTCAACAACTGAGTCTCAAAGCAAATTTTCAAAGAATTAAAAAGAAAAATTAACAATTTGGCTTAATTTAAAAATACCTTATATGGATTTAACATCAAGCTTATGATCAATCTAATACATGTATACATATTCGAAAAAGTGAACAGTTTTCACCTGTGTTCTCCAATACGTTTGCATTCTCTGGTTCTGAAGTCTTCACAATCAATGTGAGACTGCTGTCTGTTAACACATCCATCAATACGACTCAACGCTGCACCTCCTACGCATCATTTTGACTGTCCCACCTGTTGAAAGAGAGAGCCAGAGAGAAACAGAGGAGATGGGGGAGAGAGAGAAGAGACGTGAGTACGAAGGGAATCGTTAATGGGTGACTTCCACATGTCAAATCCAGAATAACATTAACAGAGTTAGATTTCATTACAACAAAGACACAACAGTAGACAGAGACAAACACACTGTTGCAGTAAAAGTAGAAAAAGCTCCAGACATGACAGAGCCATCAAACGAGCCCTCGTGGCACTAACAATCACTAATTTCTCCTGTGTATCACAGATTTGTGTCTAAAATTAATTTAAACTTTGTCAACCAAGAGAGTACACAAAGAATCACAGCCCAGATCACTATGGAAACTGTATGCCATACTATCCTATTTTAAGCTTCATTTAACATTTATAGCAGAGTTGTTAACCTATGCGAACCTTACATAGGCAGCTCTGAGCATATTTGTTTATTGTAATTAGCCGACTCCCTCCCTTCTGTGCGCCTCGGCAGCATGAAAACCAACCCGGCTCAAAGAAGAGAGATTAAAGAGATGTGACTGAGGCGGTGACAGCAAACTGTGAACACTAACAATAGTTTTACTGTAGCGAGTGATGGTGAAAGTGGGGGTGGGTATGATGGAGTGCATATGTGGCAGGATGCGGTGCACTAGGTACAATGTAATACAAAGCAATGCGTTAGAAAGGCTGAGAGAGAGAAGAGGGGTTGAAGTTTGTCAGCCTGTTGAAATTGGGTGGGGTGGCACAGGAAAGGCAAAGCATATTAAACAAGTGTGATTCCTGAAAGAATAATGACGCTACGAGCGACTACGGGCCAGTAAATGATGAAGATTTGATGCTGTGGCCTCCCGCCTGTTAATATTGTTTTCTTTCTTTCGGCTGCTGCAGTCCTTTTCTGAAGGAGTGGTGCTGCAGGATGACAAATGAGCCAGGGGAGGGGGATCTAATAACATGATCTCCTTGTGGTGTGAAAGGGGTTGCTGGGAGATTAAGACAGACGGAAGACAATAAGACAAAGGTAGTGTGCGGCTGACTACAAACAACTGCCATCTCTTTCATCCTATTGTTTCTAAATGTCATTAGCTGCTTGCTGACCTGAGCGGGAGAGCTATACCTGAAGGGAGCCCCTGCTTCAGCTTATAGTTGCAGACACACCGGCTCAGTGGGTAATTACCTCATGAGCCATCACATCTGCTCATGTGTGCAGCAGGTACAGGGACCCTGTAGATAGACCCAGCCGGAACCTGCTCTTCTCCTCACAGAGAGGCGCTATTACTCCTAAAGCCGGAGCCTGACTGAGCGATGGTTTCTGAGGTCATGTTGTACCATTTCAACACACTGAGAAACCAAAAGTCTACATCTGGCAATAAAGACATCTATTTTGACAAAGCATAAACTGGAATTGGATACCTCCTCCTGAAATGGCTGACCCAGATGAGCTGAGCCCGGCCTCATCGATGCAACAATCCCAAGGACTCAGAGAAATAACAGTCACAGCAGCACCCTATTAAAAATAGGCTGTAGCCACTGAGCAGTGTGTCACCAAAGTGGCAGTGACACAACACACAGCTGGGATGCTGGTCAGGCTACAGAGGTCCTGCCAGAGCTCAGCGCCTAGAGCTGCTTGTGGATGTGCAAGGTCTCTGCATGTGTGTGTGCGTGTGTGTGTGTGTGTGTGTGTGTGTGTGTGTGTGTGTGTGTGTGTGTGCGTTTATGCACAATTCCATGTGTGTTAGACAAAGCCCCAAGGCTGAGGATTCACAGCATCAGCATCCACTGGCAGAAGCTGCACACACAATCACATGAGGAGAGAACGAAAGCCGGGAATTTCACAACACTCCCAACACCCCCTCCCGCCAGCCAGCTCCAGCGCCTCAAATGTGTTTATTTTCCACATTATTCACGTTTCTCCTGTATGCTTCCCCCTCCCCTCACCATCTCCACCACTGTCAAGACCTGACGAGAGGCCATTTCAATAATGAAGATGGACTTACTGCAATAGAGAGTGCACATAAATTGGAGCTACAGCCAACAAGCATGTCCAATTTGCCAAGCGGTTAAGCCTGATGTCTGGGTGCAGCTTTAAGAGAGCGCCGCGGCTGCCATCAACGGGTTTGCGCCGACCTGATTCATCCATCCACATCATTAATACTTCACAGAGGGCACCACCATTTAACTCTGCTGCAGGAAACCGCTCTTTAAACACCACACATTAGGGCACGTAATCACTGTGCACTCATTTCTGGAGCATTCATCAGGTGTAGGGAAATGGCTCATACTTCTGACCCCTCTATTGTTCTTGCATGTGCGCCGGGTTCTTTGCACGGTGAGGAAGAGAAACAGAGACAAAGAGCAGAGAGTGGGAAAAGCCAAACAAAGTGATTAGGATTTGATTTATCCTTTTAAACCCTCCTCCACACACCATGTGTTAATGTGCAAGCTGGATAACAAGATAAGAACATGTTTACTCGCGCTATATGGAACTTATCAGCACCACAATCAAATTCCTGCAAGCCTCTTCCCTGGTCCTCGTTTGACTGCATTTCTCTTCCATTCGATTGTATTTCTCTCCAATGAAGCGGCCACAGGAGGGATGGCTCGAGTGGGATTGTGTACAATAGTTGAAAATACTAAGCAAGGTCTCACAGCAGTGGCATATGTAGGTACAAAAGGCTCATTGTGTCAACGTAGGGAGACAGTCAGGGGCCAGGGAAAAGATCCCCAACAGACGAACTCTAGAAGAGGGCATAGCGCCACAGGGAACACTGGTCCAAACAGACAGCGCTGAAATGGCGACTCCGCTTTTCAGCACAGGTGTAGGGTTTCAGAGCAGGTTCACCGTTTGGCTGCAGATAGACTAAGTAATCTGCCTCACACGCACTCTTCAGCTTGTGAACTTGCAGCAGTACAGGACAGAGAGGCCCACATCAAATACATGGTACAGGTACCCAGTAATAATAATATTACATTCATATTGCATGTCTGTCTGTGGAACACATATCTCAAGAATACTTCATCTTATCGGCTTCACACGTGGAATGTTATTGGTCAAATTTGGTATGATATGTTTAGAATTAATAACATTTGAATTATGAGGCAAACAGCACATTGCAGTCAGTGTGGGCGTGGCAACGTGTCTACGTCCTCGGGTAAACTACAGGAACAGGTGTTTTCACCTCCCGTGATGAATGCAGGCACGATCAGATGACCAGCAGGGACAGTGCCACTCTCCAATTGAGAATTAAACTTTAAGTTCGCCATACTAACCGCCATACCAGTAGCCCCACTCCAAAACCATGTAGTTATGTCAAAGCAAATGACTAAAAGGCTTATTTAGACTGCCCTACGCATCCTCCGGAGGGCCTGTCTGAGTAGAGTTTCTCCTGCCAGCCCCCTAGTAAAAACTCAGGAGCATGTCGGAATTCACAGTGAGCAAATGTTGATGACTTCTCTAACATACAAGACCCAAAAATGAAAAAGAGACAAAAAGAATACAAATATCTCAAGATAAAAAAGGATTGCCATCACAAAAAAAGACAGCAAAGAAGACGTCAAGAGACCTTTTTGGTGATAAGGGCTGATGCCAGTGTCACTGTGCTGTCAACAAAAACTCCTCTGTCCTGCCTCTGCGCCACCACTTATCTAAACTATCGGGAGATTTCCGTGTTGTTGTTGTGAACACGTCTCAGTTGAGAATCTCCTGCTGCGCTGTTCATTGTGCGGACGTTCTCCAAAGTTCATGTCTGAAAACAGGCGTGCCTTTAACTGTGATTCTGAGGGCAAGTAGTCGCATCTTTGATATTTATTTTCCCCTGAACCACTGTGTGTTTCACTGCTCCTGCTAACCGTGACTAGCCACAGCTTGGGTGTCTATTTTCTCCTGAACCATGACGCAAACCTTTTCATCACAGGTGTATTGCGCAGAACCTGAGGAAGCACAGGGTGAAGTTGTTTGCAAAGGCTGCAGGCAGCAAAACCACAAGCCAAAAAATAAACCCATTTCATATAGGCATGTTTTGAATGGACACTGCACTAGAAGTTATAAATATTATGGAGCAGAATTATCTGAATTTCTCTATCTGAGAGGAAAACTTCCACTGAAAACTACACAGCAAATATGAAGTTCCGAGATCCTGAGAACATTTCTTTTATGTCAAGCACAATTTACACATGCGCAGGTCTCTGAATTCTACTTCTACTGTTTTGAGGAGGGTCATTTCTTCAACACCCACAGACAAGCTGCAGATTTAAGGACAGTACTATAATGGAGAGGGGACTCCCCAAAATAGACCTCTGCTGTCTTGAGATCAGACAACAGTGCTGCCCACTGATCCATCACGCCACTTAATTTGTTTCTCCGTCCCCGTCAGCGACTAATTGTTGAAATTCTCTTGTTAATTGATCGGTGGACCACAGAGCTCTCGCGTAGCCCTCTACTGCTTTTATGTCTTTGTACTGTCAATGCTGCAGAAGAGACATTAACTCTCTTTTCTCTCTCACAAACATAAAGAGTGACAGCTCATCAGGTCAGGACAGTTCAACACTTACAACAGAGCTCTCCTCTTCTGACTCACCAAGCCAACGACAAAGATGCAGCGCTCTCTAGCAGATCACATCAAACCCCTTTGCATCCCTTCAGCAGTTGTAGGTAGGACTGGTTGATACAGCTTTTTCTATGTAAATTTGTTATATCTAAAGAAGTCATATCTCAGGAATACATCAGACTGACCTCTACTCATGTAAAACACAAACTTAAACCTGTCTTAATAGTTTTGGCCACTTGAGGGCAGCGAAACAACCTATAAAACACATGCTTATATATTATTTGTTACCTTATTGAGTTGATATGTTGCAGTGATAACCTGCATCAAATACCAAAAATTTTACCCCTGGATTTTTTTGCAAGCCTACATTGGCTTCTAATTATATTAATAATGATTTTAAACATTTTGATTAAAAAAAGCCGCCTACAGCTTTGGTGGGTCTTATTAG